AGAGCGAGAGATGTGTGTGTGTGTGTGTGTGTGGTGTGCATTTGGTTGTGTGTGTTTGTGCGTGTGTGTTTGTGCGTCGTGTGCGTGTGTGTGTGTGTGTGTGGTGTGTGTGTGATGTGTGTGTTGTTGTGTGTGTATGTGCGTGTGTTGTGTTGTGTGTGCGTGTTTGTGTGTGTGAGTGTTTGTTTTTGTGTGTAGTGTGTGTGCTGTGTGGTGTGGTGTGTGTTGTGTATGCGTGTGTGTGTGTGTGTGTGTGTGTGTGTGTGTGTGTGTGTGTGTGTGTGTGCGTGTCTGTGTGTGTGTGTGTCCGTGCGTGTGCGCGATCCCGATCATAAACTACCCGTAAATCTCTCGTACGACAATAGGGACCTTACGCAACGCTTGGCCTAGCTTCACCTAAACAACCCTGGCCAGTCAGTATCTTAATTAATAGCCTAGCTAGCATATAGCTTAAGGAATAGTCTAATAACTTATCGGGGGTGGGGAGAATGCAGAGCAGTGGCGCCCACGTCTATAAGCCGAGCAGATTAGCACTGAGAGAGATAGTTATCCGCCTATCAACAGCCAGCGCGCAAGGACGGGTGCAGACCGATACGGGCTATATATATATATATATATATATATATATATATATATATATATATATATATATATATATATAAGTTCTATCAGTATACCGTTACGCTCGCTTCCATTTTTCCATGAACATACACGCACACCACGAACACGTACCCATGCACACACACACGCGCGCGCGCGCGCACACGCACATGCACGCACACGTATACGCACGCACGCACGCACGCACGCACGTACGTACGTATAAAGACAGCTGCCACACTTGACTTGTACAATCGGGAGGCATACACAGCGTGTCCTTTGTTGGCTCGCTGACACAGATATACAGTCGTAAGTAGACGGCCGACGTCGGTACACTGACACAGTAGCTATACAGCACACCGACACACACCGCCGCCACCGCCGCCCCCGCCGCCGCCGCCGCCGCCGCCGCCGCCACCTCCCTCACACCGTGACGGTCGGTGTATGCGAACTGCCCGTCGCGCGTCGTCTCTGCGTTCCTATCTTTCAATATTCCTATCAACTCCTAACTAGCTAACTGCCGCAGTGGTCCACGCTATATTGGCCCTCGGATAATTGGGCGCATCGCTTAAACGACACGTGTCTACGAAAGACAATCCCTACGCACCTCGTTTCGTGTTAACCGCTTAATCGGGACATCCCCGACCGGTCCCGATAATGCGATGTATAATCCCACCGTATAACAGACTCTAAAAAAAACGTTATTCTACTTTGATATAAATTTCGTGAAGATTTATATGATTGTACGAATACTCATCGTCGCCCGTGCCGACAGACGCAGCAGAACTCCGTCGGTAGCAGTCGGCAGCGATGGTTCTCACTGTCAGGTAGCCGGAAGACGACAACACAGCTTTCCGCGAGTAGAGGCGGCGATAGCAGCGACGCGTTGCTCGGCTCCATCCCCGCACACAGCGATACTGATCAGACGCACGCGGCAGAGTAACGGTGCCCCGCAGAGCTGAGCGTGAGGAGGGAGGGGCGATGTGTGAGCAGCACTATGAGAGAGTGAGAGAACGCACACGAGAGGGGGAGAGGGAGAGTGATACAGGGAGAGAGAGTGTGATGAGAGTGAGAGAGAGAGAGAGAGAGAGAGAGAGAGAGAGAGATAGAGCGCGCGATAGAGGGAGAGAGCGCGCGCGAGATAGAGAGATATAGACAGACGGACCAACGGACGGACGGACGGACGCACGGACGGACGGACGGGCGCACGGACGGACGGACGGACGGACGGACGGACGGACGGACGGACGGACGAACGGACGGACGGACAAACGGACGGACGGACTGAGGGACGGACGGACGAACGGACAGACAGACAGCAGACAGATCCAGACAGACAGACAGACAGACAGACAAACAAACAGACAGACAGACAGATAAAAAGATAGAGAGAGAGAGAGAGAGGAGGCGGGAGAGCGAGTGAAAGAGAGAGAGAGAGATAGCGAGAGATTAGGAAAAGCGCGAAAGAGAGCGTATACACAATCCCACGCT